CCAAACGTGAAATTGTAGTTTGATCCTTGCCAACTTAGCTATCAAACGGGGGCCCCACATTGTATAATAGTTACAACAGTTATAACCCAAGAGTTGGTGATTTTTTTAACCTGAAGTTCTGCTTCCAAGATATGAAAATGGGGTGCTTTCCGTCATGGAGGTCATCCAGAGGAAATGATGGGATGATTCTGTGGCTTTTTCATGAAATACGTATGGGATAACATGGCATAGTTAAAATAAACCATCCCCATTTTGGGTTTATGAACTTTGCGAACCCTTGTATGGGTCCTTATGTGGAATGGCACGTGCCGCATCCACCAGCGGAATTGGGAACTGTGAAATCGGAAAGCCATGTTTGGGTTTTACCCCCCATATAATGCTCAGTGAACGGCTGGTGGTTTATACCGTTTTTACACGATGTTCTGGGGAAAATCTGATGTTTAAGTCCATCTGGACAACTTGTGATGGCCTGCCTCTGACATCACAAGTTATGGTTTGTAAAGGGAACCACAAAATGACCCGCGCGGCCGAGACCTCGAGCGAGACCTCAAGTTCACCTTCCTCCATGGTTAGGGCCCAATGGCTAAAGAGAGTCCCATGTTCAGTTGGGTTATAGTTCAAAGATACCCCCCCTTTGGATGGTTGATCTCTCGTTTTTGGTGTGTAATCCCCATTTTTTGAACGTCCCAAAAAGGGATTTCATTGAATCCAAGCTGTGAATTCTCATGATACCCCCATTTTTTGGCACCGTTCTATCCATTCTTATCCCCTTAAATCCCCCATTTTATAGTGGGTTATTAATGGGATTATTATGGGATAATCATTGATGGATACAATGGGATTATAAGAATGTTTTCCCATTATGGCAATCCCTAGTTGAACCCCTCCCAAGGAGATATGCGGACTCCGCGGAGCCTGAAGCTCCCTCGGCGCATCCAAAGATACCAGGCAGGGTTGCCCGGATGATTGATGATCATCCCCCTTTATCGTCTTGAATCCTATTGATTGATGATCATCCCCCCAATTGATGGGTAATCATAATCCATCTATTGATTGTAGTTGGTTATGTATCTCATGAGATACTGTGGATGGTTGCCAAATCCTGCACCACCAAAAGGATTGTTTTTAACCTTTAAAAAAAAAGTAAAAACCTTTGATCATCGTTGATCATCATGGATTTTCTGGAAAAAAACATCATGTATCATTATTTATTTGTAAGAGCAAGAGCCATCATTTGAAACCAGCAGATCACAATTTGGTTCTTGGTGTCATGTTTTCATATGTTCCACTCAAAAATTGGGATGATGAACCCCATGACTAATATTTTGGGGACAGGTCCGACCTACTTACCTGTGGGGAAAAGGGACATCTATGATCATCCACTTCTACCCAACAGAAATTTGCCAATTGATAAAAGTACCTCTTAATATACTTCAATGGATTGGTTTACGGGAAAAATTACAGGAAAGCCCCGATATTTCCATGGGAAAAATCAATGGTTTCCGGTTAAGAGTTCCCCTCAAGCAATCCATTGAATACAACCAACCATATCCCTAAGTATCTTGGCAGTTTTTTTGAGGTACCCTCTGGTAAACTATACAAAAAACGATGGAAAGATCCACCATTTTCAATGGGTAAATCCACTATTTCTATGGTCCATTTTCAATAGCTATGTTAGTCATTACCAGTGGTTACCTCCCATCCAAATCTCCCAGAAGTTGGGTCTTTTAAGAGGGCTGGGTGATCCCTGTGATGTGACAGGGTTCCACAATTTTCGCCCTGAGTTGACGCTTGGCGGCAAAAGTGTGGTGTTTTTTTACCTGGAATACCATGGGTTTTCCCGACTTTAACTGGTTGGTGGTTTGGAACATTTTATATTTTTCCATATATTGGGAATGTCATTCCCCCATTTGAATTTCATTTTTTTCAGAGGGGTAGGGCAACCACCAACCAGCTAATGATGTGGGGAAGGATCCTGTACATGTTCCTTTTCAAGGACATCACTATCAGAGTCATCCAGGAAGCGACAGCTTCTTTCTATTAGAATTGATTCGGATGGTGTTTTGTCAGTCAGGAGGAATGGCTACCCGTACTTTTAACTCGCTATTTTGGTTGGCTAAAACGTCTTCTTTACTGTTGTAGCTGACCCATCCCCATTTTCAGATGCTGGGGGACGTTCTGAGCATCGGCTGATTTGTCTTCCAATCCCCAACGAACCCCATGGTTTCTGGAAGGTGTAACTAATATGAACGGGGTAAGAAAGTTATCCCAACATCATTCATCTGCTGAAAATTTGGATGTCATTTTCACCAAACTGATGGTAGTGTTCTTCTAAGTTCGCACTGAACTTAGGATGCTGCCGGACTATGATTGTCATTTTCTTCCTGAAAGTTGGTTGGCCGCTTGGCGGAAGACCATGGTGTAGGCGACCCCAAAGCTATTGGGGATCACTGTATTATCCCATTACTAGGGCTATATCCAATTCGTATACCAGAGTGGGGATGGTTTATGGCGTTGGGTTTACCTCATGGGCTTATCACATCTAACAAGCTAACGCGATCTAATCATCAATACCTTATCTTCCAAGATCCATATTTCAATATGTCCGATCAACAATAATCTACTCTCTTATGTTCATGTCACCTTCTACTTTCAAGATCACCCAAGTCTAGTTGATAAAAATGGTGATGGGTCAAGATCTATATTTGGAGGGAATAAACATCCATTAAGCAGTTTTTGTTGACTCATAGCCATATCTTCGGATTCTGAAAGCCTATCCCTTCGCAAATGGATGAGCCAAAAAGGTCGCTCGCTACATGACCCTGATTTTCCAGCCACCTTTGATGATCGGATGATGCTTCAAACATGGAAACTTCAGCCTGAAAATGGTGATATATGTGTAATACGTAATGGGATATGGTCAACAATATCTAGTATTTGGATGCATCTGAAAATGTAACATATCCGACATTTTTGCGCCATCATGGGGAAAGTGATCTGTCGAATTTTGGGATACCTTGAGACAAACCCTGAGGAATCCTCTCGGTAGAATTTCCACTGTAGTTGAATACAGTTGACTCTAGGCCCATCCCTGTTCAATGGTAAAATCCGAGAAAACATGGAGCCACAATGGACATCCATGAATCACTAGTGATGGAAAAGGACGCACCCTTTGGGTGTCTTCAAAATGGGCCATCATGTAAAGAGTCATTCAAGTTTCATTGGTGATGGTGCACGATGGATATGATGGAACTCATACTGATTTTTGCTATCATACACATAGGATACCAAATGAGAAGCACATGAGACTGAAAATATCATCGGTCTCATTCCTGTGATAATGATAGTCATCATCATATAAATGATAATGACAGAAACTGATAATGATAATGGTAATAGATATTTAAAGACAAAACGCAGAAAGTGACTGATAATTATCCTCAGAAAATCAGATAGCATGATACTGTAATGATAGGAACTTCAAAGAACGGCCCACGAATCATTCTCATGATTCATCCCCCAGAGTTGCTAGCTGCGAAATACCCCAACTAAACGAAGGCTTTTGCAGAATCTATTCCCGGTGTCCCAACATATATCCTAAAAAATCCCTTCAAAAATCCCAGCTCTAAGTCTCTTTAATCCGAATAAGTCCCTTTCAAGGAATAAATCCCAATAATTATATACCATGACAGCCATGACGCTCTAAAATCCCTTTACTAGGGCTACATAAATCCCAATAAGATAATAAGTCCCTTTAAAAATCTCGTCAATCCCTACTTTTATATACTTGTATCCCAATAAATCCCAGCAAAGTGGGGGCCCGGTTTACGATAGCCATTCGGGGCAACTAACTCCAACAACTGTTGGGCTCATAGTAATGAAACAACTATGATATTCAGAAGGGCTTTACAAACATCACGTTGGGGGGCCCATCTTGCATGTCATCCCGATTTTTGTTGACGATAGTAGTTGTCCTTTTTTATCAGCATTTGGCATAATGTTCTTCTCTTTTCAGAACCGTCATTTTTTCTCCAACAGGTCGTATTTTTGGTTTCATTTGTTCATATGGTCCACTCTCAAATTAGGACGATGAACCCCCATGACTCACCCGAAAACCAACAAATGTCAACGAAAGGTAATACCATTCTTTTATCATATAATACATATATATATATATTGGTTGGCGGTTTGGAACATGTTATATTTTTCCATATATTGCGACTAATATTCCCAACTGACTTTCATATTTTTCAGAGGGATAGGTATACCACCAACCAGATGATTAATCAGTGGATCTGGGGTATTTTTATAATGTATTGTCCCATTTAAAATGTCAAACCCAAATGGCTGGCTGAATCGGTTTCAATATATTGGGAACATGTTATATTTTCCATCTATTGGGAATGTCATCATCCCAACTGACTAATATTTTCAGACAAATTGATACCACGAAACAGAAATGTTGGTTTATGAATCCCATTATAGGTTAACTGGTTGAACTATAGGTATTGCCATAAGCCAAGTGAAATTGGAGTTATATCACAAGCAACAGGCCACCCATCTTTTCTCAGAACATGGTCACGGACTTCTTGGGGAGCCTGGAGCTGGTGGGCATCACGGGCTCGGCGAGGCGACGCGGTGAAAAGTTGGGATTTCATTGGAAAAAATTAGGGACTTCATGGCATACTCATGAAAAATATCATGGGATTTAATGGTAATTGAATGGGAGATGGGATACCTTTGGGCAATATCATGGCATATAAAAAGATTAATCATGACCTCACTGTGACGTCGGAATGATGGCGAGTATAGGGAAATCCTTCCAAGTGGCCCTATGACAACAGCTATTTTGGTGAGTTAATTGGAATGAGTTAATATACCTCAGATTGGTGAGTTATCATTTTCTAAGTGGCCGTAAGTATCTATTTTCAGGTTAGTGAGTTAAGATACTTCAGATATTTGATTGGTGAGATATCACGCTGGGTTAACCACTAAAAATAAATGGTTCCAACCAAAAAACGGGCCAAAATTGATCCACAATCTGCGAGCCTGGTTTGACACCCAAATTGGTGAGATGCAACATGGTTGGATACCTCGGTGTGTGGTTTGTATGAAAATTGGATATACCCAGTATACCCTCCTATTGGCCGTTCATAATGCAAATGAAGTTCTTAACCATCAAATTTGGTGGTTGTCCCTTAATTTTCAGGTGCCAAAACCAGATTCTCACGAGAAAAACGTGGCTGCCCTAAACGTCTTTGTGCTGTTGGGAACTATCAAGTTTCTTTGATTCATCCTGTGTCCATGTTTGGCTTGGAAAAAGAACAACACAGGAATGGTAAGATCCCATGTTGTGTTCACTATCTTGTTGGCTGATTTTTGAATTGTCCATCATGAATAAAACATGGACCCTCAGCACCAAGCTTTGCAGTGTGATTCCGAAACCAAAGCTGTGTCGCTTCAGAAACCACAACTCACCGATTCAGAAACCAACTGAGGCGTGATTAAGAAACCAAAAAATATGATTCAGAAACCACAACGTTTGATTCAGAAACCAAAACTTCCCACAGAGAACTCAAAACGAGCCCTTCTGAACAAGATGTTACATCTGCATCTTCGGCATCACAAGAGATAAAACCATAAAACCCGCCACCCCCTCTGAACACCGCGTTGCATCTTCGGCATCACAAAAGATCAAACCGGCCACCCTCTGAAAACATTATTTTACATCTTGAATCCTCGTATTTTGGCAACTCTCAGCACGCGCATTGGTTGAAGGCATGCTGTACACTGTTGCTCCCTACCCAATACCTCCAATACGTGGAATACCATAGATCTCCCAAATTTGCAGATACGCAAAAGCAATGACATAGAAACAAATCGAAGCACAATGTTATTCCCATTGCCATACCTCTGACATGTCATCATTGCAGTCGGGCAACCGGGTATCTTTGGCAGAAGGAGCTCACCAGAAAAGATCCCTACGGAAGGCGGTCAGTTTCCTATCAATACCGTTTTGGTTTCCGAAGAATCTTTTTGTTGGTTTTCGAGATCCCTTGGTTTCCGAAAAGTCCTGTTTGGTTTCCAAAGAATACGTGTTGGTTTCCGAAGAATCTTCTGAGTGTCCCAAAACAAGGCATCCTAAAACCTATGGTTTCCCTCTTAAAATTGTCATGGTCAGATCAGCTAGATGTCTAAACAGCGCCGTTTCCATTGCTCATTGACTATTTTGTTTGCTTTTGATGATGAAAGCTCCACTTTTAAAGGGGGTCATCCGATATGTGTTGACATTGTAGATGCATATGTGTGTGTATGTATTTTTACAATTATTACATAATATATATATATATGCGTTTATTTAAATATTGTCATTTTTTGTGTTTATTGTTTTATGTACTAATTATGTATTTAGTCATTTTTTTGTGTGCATGTATGTGTGTATGCATGTATTTACATACGCATTCATTTGAGCAGTGCTCAAAACCCCTGTTGGTTGACTACTATATGGCTTTTACAATCCAATATATTGGGATTACCACAGCCCATTATGGAAAATCCGTTCGTAACCAGCCAGTATAAGGAGACGACATTTTAGTTTTTGATCGCTCGAAGCAAGTGAGCCATGAAAAATGTCATCTCATTACACTACTTGGCTTAGGGGTTTCCCTAGTATATGTTTTTCATAATCCCAATAACTCGTCAACAATCATTTACCCTTTGGTAAGCTAACATAACTATGGAAAATCACCATTTTTCATGGGAAAACTCGCTATTTCTATGGCAACTTTTCCATAGCTAGTTTGACATAACCAGAAGGTATCAGCTATATCCCCATACGTTCGATGGTTTCACCTTCATGAAACCCCTATGATTGATGGTTAAGTCCCATTCACAACACCCACCAGGGCCTCCGGATACGAAACGCTGGAGGGTGAATTGGAGACGCTTGGCGGAAGGAATGGGGATTTGAGCATCGGAAGTGGACATTCAACCAGTAAAAATGGAGGAAAAGTGTCATTTGACCCTCAAGAATGGAATTTTGCCATCAAAAATTAGGATTCCTACTCAGAAATATTGGTCGGACCGTCAAAAATAGGACTTTGAACGCAAAAAATGCAGATGGATAGTTGATTTGTGATAGTTCGTCGCTGTTGGGTTTATGGTTATAATATATATATATATATACTATATATATATTTACAATATATATATATATAATAAATATATATATATAGAGTTTGATGCGCTTATAAGCCAACTCATAAGTGGGAGGGAGGGCCCTTCTAAGCATGGGTCATGTGGCTGGGGAACTTCTGAGCGATAGTTGAAGAATGATTGAATCTCAACTCTAAATGAGGACGCCAGCTATAGATTAACTCTTTAGCAGGGAATCTAATATCTATGATAGTTGGAACCCTAGTTCTCTATGGTAAGTTGAAGGGCCAATCATTGTACCATTTGGTGAGCAAACATGGCAGTCGAAGATTGTGCAGTTGTAGATGATCGACCTCTTGCAGATGAGGATTTGCCATTGCCATGTTAAATTGAGCAACGCTCAAAACTGTAGTGGTTGATGATTATAGGGGTTTTATTATCCAATATGTATATTCATATATATATATATACATAGGTACAGACACTCACGAGATATGAGCCTCCTTGGCGTCCGACTGAGGATTTGGAACAACTATGCGGAGATTCTAGCTGATCGCCCAGTGCCACTCGGTTCTGACCATCCGATCCGTCTTCGGGGTACAGTTCCAGCTACAAGTGCCTTGTCTAATCCCATTCCCCTGTTAACACTCCCGTAGAAACCATGGTTTAGTAGGGAAATTCCACATACTTAGGACCATAGAATGGGGGTGTTTGATATTAGAATGGGAATCATACTCCTTTGGGTCATATCCCAACTTATGGTGGTGATAATGCTACGGTTTTAGCCATCAATAACCCCTGGCCTGCACCCCCAAGTACCTTCAGTTTTGATTGGAAGTTGCATCTCCCTTGCCGTGCGTTGAAGTCGCAAGCGCGTTGAACAAATCGATCTCAGCTGATTTGCCCTAGAAAGTGGCGATCTTTATCCTCTACAAGTGTTCCTTGCTGAAGGTCACGGGAGTTTTCTCGGAACCTTTAGTCAAAAAAGTCTAAACTGCTTCGCCATATTTTAAAATAAAAGGGAACATGGACCCAGTTTTGGTGGTGACCAAGGTTGGCCAGAGATTGCCCCTTTACCAATTTTTTGGGGAGGTGCTCCGACGGGCTGACGGAGTGGGCTGAACTGGGTTGGGTTCGGGTTTTTGGGGGTTGCGTGAATAGCGAACACGAAAGCGGAATCTTGTAACATGGGCGTAGAGTTCATAACGTGTCTTTTCTGCTCGTTGGAATAGCTATGTTTCCAAGTTCCAGCAATTGGAAATCACAAGACTATTTTGGGAGGCCCAAAGCAAAGCATGAACTAGATCCTGGAATCACAAATCCTCCACAGATTGGGGTCTGAATATAGGGTCACGAAGATATTGATGAAAAAGATGATGATGAAACTCTGAATCTAGCGCTGCACTATTTTCAGACAGAGCCATTGACTCTATGCCCAACATGAATGTACATGGATCATGCATAGGGAAAGCTGCAGCACCTGCTGATCAGCTCGTCCCACAGAGGAACAACATAGGGCAATACTTGGCATCTACACCCTCTTCGGAGAGTACCACCTCAGCATCAACCGAATTGTTATGGATTGTTATGGCATTTTTTGTAAATCTGGGTGGATGAATTCGGAGATTCCCCTCGATAATGATTATTTGCTAACTTAAAATGGCACTCCCCATTTAGACCCACAGGTTTCTTGATCCGGGCTTTACATTATGCAAGTTGCAGGGAATCTTATGGAGTCTTTGTGTACATCTTCAAGTCCTGAAACATGTTCTGATCATTTTCAAGTCACTTCTTATCCGGCACCGGCAGGATCAGTTTATGGACCTGTTGCAAAATCATTGAGAAATTGGTCTGAGCCTCAATGGGTGGGTAGTTTGGGTAGTTGGACCTTCCAATCTATACGGAGGCACTGACCCATTTACTTCGATGTACCCTTTGGTCATTTGACATACCCTCTGGTCAACATACAAAAAACTATGGAAAATCACCTTCTTGAATGGGTAAATCAACTATTTCTATGGCCATTTTCAATAGCAAACTGTTAGTTTACCAGAGGGTAAACCCTGCCAAATAGGGGTTCGAACATTGATTTCCAGCAGAATTGGTTGTTTTCTTGGTTGATGTTTAATGACTAGAAGGTGCCTACTTTATCAATGGGCCATTTCCGGTTCGCAAAATGTATGTCACCACCGGGAACTGTTTTGGACTTTCTCAAGTTGCATGCGAGTCGAACCATGGCCGTTTCCCCCAAGATAGAATCATCATGGTCCAAGATACGAAATAGCCACCACTTGAAAGGGAAATCATGCTAAATATCTGGTGTCAAACAAACCCCAATATATTCGCGTTGTTGTCTTGTTTATGTGAATATAGGATGATATAATAATATCACGAAAGGTAGCCTCCTAGCGGGCTACCTTGAGTTTTACTTTGCGAACCAAAGGGGCGGGCTGGACCCCTTATCCTTGAACGACCAGGAGAAAGGGACCCCCCCCTCCCCCCCCCTCAAAGGGAACTCTCGCCATATGCCTGGTGAGCCTCTTCACGCAGCAGCCCCTTCGCAGTGTCTCGTCATCATCACCATCATCATCATCAACATCTTCATCATCATTATCCTCCTCATCACCATCATCATTCGACTTGAAATTCAGATTTTTCGACATCCATTTTCCAAGTACCCAACGGTGCGATGAAAGTGACAGGTTCGAGCATCCATAGGTACCGCAAAAAGAGACATTGGAGTTTGTGCTAACACTGATTGTGTTTTTTTTCCCGGCACGATGCGTGTGTCTGACAATGTATACCTCCAAATGGCTATTTAAATGGACTAAGTGATGAGCAACCATGGACATCGTGGGGTGCTCTCTTTTCGGATCCAAATATCTCCGCTCTGCTCTGAATGTCCAGTTCCACGCCCCCCCCAAGTGAACTCTCGTCACATGCCTTGTGCGTCTCTTCACGCAGCAGCCCCTTCGCAGTGTCTCATCATCATCATCATCGTCATCATCCTCATCATCATCATCATCATCATTCGACTTGAAATTCGGATTTTTCGACATCCATTTTCCAAGTACCCAACGGTGCGATGAAAGTGACAGGTTCGAGCATCCATAGGTACCGCAAAAAGAGACATTGGAGTTTGTGCTAACACTGATCGTGTTTTTTTTTTCCCGGCACGATGCGTGTGTCTGACAATGTATACCTCCAAATGGCTATTTAAATGGACTAAGTGATGAGCAACCATGGACATCGTGGGGTGCTCTCTTTTCGGATCCAAATATCTCCGCTCTGCTCTGAATGTCCAGTTCCACGCCCCCCCCAAGCGAACTCTCGTCACATGCCTTGTGCGTCTCTTCACGCAGCAGCCCCTTCGCAGTGTCTCCTCATCAGCATCATCGTCATCATCATCATCATCATTCGACTTGAAAATCGGATTTTTCGACATCCATTTTCCAAGTACCCAACGGTGCGATGAAAGTGACAGGTTCGAGCATCCATAGGTACCGCAAAAAGAGACATTGGAGTTTGTGCTAACACTGATCGTGTTTTTTTTCCCGGCACGATGCGTGTGTCTGACAATGTATACCTCCAAATGGCTATTTAAATGGACTAAGTGATGAGCAACCATGGACATCGTGGGGTGCTCTCTTTTCGGATCCAGATATCTCCGCTCTGCTCTGAATGTCCAGTTCCACGCCCCCCCCAAGTGAACTCTCGTCACATGCCTTGTGCGTCTCTTCACGCAGCAGCCCCTTCGCAGTGTCTCATCATCAGCATCACCGTCAGTATCATCATCATCATCATCATCATTCGACTTGCGATTCGGATTTTTCGACATCCATTTGCCACGTCACTTTAACTTTTGCAAGCAAACGGGTGAAGCAAAGGAACATCGGCGCTTCTCCATGCTTCGGTTGGACAGAAATGTTCCCTTCGTTCTGTCAAAGCGGTGATTTGTTAGCGCATGACGTCCATATTGACAAGCCTAAGGCTTGGTGTCAGCAGAAAAGGGCCCGGTCGCATGTCGGCTTTCGCACTGAGTGATCCCCCGCGTCCCCTGTGACACAACTACCTTTCGTGTCACCCCTTCTCAAGTAATCATAAAAGTCCACATAAAATCTCCTCATACTGTGGATGGAAGAAATCCTGCACCACCTTGGATGGTTGAAACCCTATAAATAATGGGTTAAACCATCTATCAACTGGTGCAGGATTTCGCAACCATCCACAGTATCTTGTTGTCAGTTTAATCCCAGCATGTTTCGAGGTAAACCGCCTCTGACCGGACCTCGCCAGGAGAAATCTCGGACGCCCGAAGCAAGACGAGCTCCCAAGGTGCGAAGGGGTTGGGTTTCCACAGGAGCCCCCGACAGATAGATATATTGACTTTTAGATAGAGTAAATGTGGTGAAATATGGTTAACTGTGGCTCATTATGTATAACTATTGTTAAGTATGGTCAACTTTGGTAAAGTGTTGTTAACTATGGTTAAATATAGCTTACGGTGGATACATCAGTGTAATGGGTGAGCGATAACCACCAACCTGCCCCCAAATTGATGAAAAATGGATGGGAAACGATGTGGAAATGATCTTAGATTATTGTTTGAACGACAATTAGTTGCACAGATGCGAACATAGAGAAGTACGGCTGCAAAAAGGGTTATAAAAAGACTAAAATATCCGATTGCAGCATCCAAATGATGGAGTTTTACCCAGATTTTATCAGATTTTGAGTTCTCAAAGCACGGCAATTTTACGTCAACACCAGCATAACCATCCCAGAATTGACGACGAGATTTGCAGGAAACCTTGTAACTATAGGAATAAAACCCTGGTTTTCTGTACGTAGTTTTCCCCTTTAACCAATCAACTGATAGCTACTTTCGTTGTGGTTTGCTTTCTGAATCATCTCCTGCCCAAAGTGACGGCACAGGGAGCGCCAGACCATTGCGAGGAACTCCGATGCTTGGCGGCAGAAATGATGTGCTTTATCAATTTAAGGAGCAGTTGTTCGCTACAACAAAGATATTCAAACATGAACCAGCAGGCATTTTTGTTTTTGCAAACACGAATGTGCCTGAACGAGAATCCCCGGGGTCGTCAACAAGCATGGAATCTTGTGCCCAATAAATATTGATTAGATGTCGCCAGGAAAAGCGAGAGACTACAACCATGCGACTTGAGGATATTGCTGTGGGTCATTTGCAAGAGAGCCCAGAATCCTCCGCTCATGGGCTGATAAACCAAAAGGGGGAACCAGCATTTTGTTTTTTCATTGATGGCCAAACCATGTCAAAGCATACATTTTTTAGCCTTAAATCATCTTTGGAGTTTGTTTACATCTAATTTAGAAGCATTGGATTTTGCCGATTCGTCTGCGGATGGATCAAACAAAAGTCAAGCAGCTCAAACTACCCTCCGCTTAAAAAAAACTATGGCAACGGAGAAAGTTCATTTCTTTCGATAATTTTCCCAGCTATTTACATCCATTTACAGCATATTTCCCAGCCAGTGAGTTGATCCATAGTTATCCCATTATCCCCTTATCCCAATTATATCTCCAACAAAAAATCCCTAGGGTTCTTGGTGAAAGCTCCATTGGATGACCAGATCCCATGATGATCTAGTGAATCCACTTGACCTCCTGAGGAACTGATCCAGTGATGCTCTCGAGGCGCCTCCAAAGCCGTGGCAAAAAATAGCGAAGTGTTTTTCAGAGCGGTAGAGCGGTAGCCTCCAAAAATGGCTGGCTTTTATGGTGGTTTTTTTGGGCGGTTTCATGGTGGTCATATGGTGATAAGTTTATACCATTTTTTCCCAAGAAACATGGTGATTGAAGAGTGATGCACCGTGGAGGTTGCTGGGAAAATCCTCGGACTGCTGGGTGATTTCCGCCAGCTGATTCGAGGTGATTTACGCCATAATATCTCATCCCCCGTCACCTGACATTCACCAGACCTTCCAACTTTTAAAGTTGGGATAAGCAACCCCCAAAAAGATCGAAAAGTTCACATCCTGAAAGAGTGATGAATCACTGTTCCAATCTTGGTTCCATGGTCATGTGATGTTTCGCCAGTTGACCCCGTCGCCCAGGGAACTCTTGGGTTCAGGAGAAGAACATTTGGGTTTAAGGACTCAGAGTGCCCTGGAAAATTAGCCCAAAAGCCATGGCAAAAAGGCTCATCAACCATGGGGGAAATGTTGGGAAAATCAGAAAATCAAGTGGTAGCCATCAACGGTGAAAGATTGGGAATTGAACCATCAAACATTGGGATTTCACCATGTTGAACCAATATGGGTGAGATACTGCAGCATACATAGTATGAGAGTGGCTAGAAGCATATATTTAAGTGATGATTCCCATGGTGATTCAACGAGGATATTACTGGAATATATCACCAGATATTAGGATCTGTCTGAAAATGATGGTTATATATTCCAGTAATATCCTTCTGGGATTGATGGTAAAATCCTTGAATGTATAACCAACAGATATATTCAATCATCAATTTTTGGGTGGTTTTTTTCTGGGGGTCCCCGAGTTCCAAGTTTCGGACAAAGCCATCTGCAAGTCGAAGCATCAAACAATGCTGCGATGACCGGATCCGCACAAAGGGTCCCAATTGGATAGGCCCTTCCCGTATTGATGTTCATGTTTAACACCAGAAAGCCGTTGTAAAACGCTAGGAGATGGCAAAGATGTTGAATTTGGGATCATTCATTGATAGGGTCCCCAGTGATGGGTCCAGCATTTTGCTTCACATGGGATTCCCAATTTCATGATATTTCATGAATGCATCACTAAACCATGGGTTCTCATGTGTTTTTTTCGTAAGGAAAAGGGATTAGTCATAGATCCACATCCTGTCCAGGTAAGAAGCTGTTTGTTTCAAGGTCATCTACAATTCCAGCCGTGATTTTGGGTTCCGCGCGCAGGACTTCGGAGCACCTGGTGGTGTTTCTGAACAGTCGCTTCTCACCACATTTTCACGCATGGGTTGCTTTGTTGCAGCTGCGTGGAAGAGACTTGGGATATGGGGAATTTGACACACCCAAATGCGCAAGCATCCCCAGAAACCATCCAAATTTCGGGTTTAAGAAGTTGGGTAAACCCCCCCCTGTTTTAATCCTTTTGAGGCGATGTGAAAATTGTGATCTTGGAGCCTTTGGGATGGATCCCTTCGAAGGTACATCCACATAGCAGAATTTCACCAGTTGCAACATCTTACAACAGGTTTCTCTGGTGGTTTGGAACATTTTTGTATGTTTCCATTCAGTTGGGAATTTCATCATGCCAACTGACTTTCATATTTTTCAGAGGGGTAGGTATACCACCAACAGCTTTCTTGTTTGACTTTCGAATTTGGGTTAAATCACTCAGTTTTCAACATAGCCTTTGATGGTCTTTACCCAATGTTTCTGCGAAGTCCCCCCATGTTTGCATCGTTGACTCCGAGGTGAAACGATCCAAGGATGCTTTCCAGTTCATGAAGATCGTTCTGGACGAAGGTGGGGCGAGAAGCGATGAGGATCGTGATGGGTTTCCATAGTCATGGGGGATCATGGGGGATCCCCTAAAAATCGCTGGATGGTGTAGAATGGATCCGAAATTCAGATGGGGGTACCATGACTGGGGGTACCCCCATGACTTGTTGGAAACCTCACGATGGCTTTCCGTGCTTGCTTTCGCTGATGGATGTGTCCATCCTCAGTATTGTACAGGCCCCTGGATGAACATAATGAGTGTGATGGGGTACACACTCTTCAGACTGGAAACCCGTTTTTTTCCGATCATAGTTTTGTTCTCTCCATGTTGTGCTGATTACCCCGTGGTAATCAAACATGGCTATGCTGGAAAAAACACTTACAGATGATTGTCCCATTAAAACCGCCATTTAGTTCGAGGATTTCCGAGCCAGCCATGTTTGATGACACCGTTGCGGGTAAACCCCAGTGTTATCTATCCCAATTGTATCCCCAAAGAACTATTGTTGTTGGTGAAATCCGTATCATTTCCAATATTCTCTCATGATTATCCCAATCAAATCAACATTAAATCAACATTAAATGCTCATTTTGGTTAGTTAAAACTCATTTTTTGATCCCATTTATAGATGACTTTCCCATTTTAACCTCCATGTCTCAGATGATTTTTGTCGGAGATTTCCGGCCTGCCCAGAATTGCCCAGATTTGGATTGCCAAAGTGCTGTGGATGTCCCGTCCGAATGGGATTGGCCTGGCTATTTGGAGAGGCCAGAAATGGGGCATGGCATGGGCGAAAATTGTCCAACAGTTGGGTAAAACTTTTGGGCAAAAGCGAACTGGTGTAAAGGCGAAAAAAATGCTGGAAAATGTTTGATTTGACCATTAATGGAGATCTAAGCATCAAAACGGGGAATGATAGGCGATTGATGATGGGTTAGTGGTTCGGAACTTGGCAGTCTATGGATTCTTCCGTCATAACCCTGACTACTGCAGCTTACTCATCAAAGCCTATGAATTGGTTACAAACTGGTCATGTTCGATCCTTCACAGCTTAAATCACAGCTTAAATCCCCAGTCGGCTGATGGTGAAATCCCAAGTGGATGGTTTTTGATGAAATCCCAACGTTTTTGATGGTGTTTGAGGGTGAAATGTCCTCCTTTTTGAATTAATCACCCCGTTTTTTTTCCGCACCTCAGGGTCTCAGGGGAAGCTTCCAACCAGGAGCTGTGGGAGGGTGAAGAACGGGATTCCCCATGATTTCTCCATGTTTCACCAATCCGCTATGTAGATCATCTAGGCTTCCTATAGGATGAACTAGGCCTCTACCATGGCCATGGCTCTTTCCCAAAAAAAAGGTCGTCTAGAATCCTATACAACCATCAAGCAACAGAGTTTTTGAAGATTTCCCAATTGTTTCGCAGAAGATAAATCTCAGTGATATTTAATTGACATGTTGTCATGAATCATTGGTTTTTTTGGTGGAAAATTGTTTAACTTAGAATTTAATTCAGGGAAAATTCATTGGATTGGTTTGTTTGGGAACATTGTGACCAGAAAAAACAAATATATATATATATATTTTTTCCATGGTGATAACACATTTTTACCGCGTAGATTTTCCCTCAAATCATCCCAATGAAAAATCCAATGAGCAACATATGAATTCATCATATCATATATCTATCAGTGAAATTCACATGTATCAGATAATTTTCCCCATTCTCCCCCATGTCTGGAAAAGTCCAAGTCGGGATGTACCTCCTAAGAGCAAACTTGGAGCCGACAATCATGGGAACATACAGAAAGGATCAGCTGGTGGAATGATTTGCCAGTAAACTAATCATTAAACTGGTAAAATGGAATCAGAAGTTTAAGGCTTCTCTCCAGTAAACTAACATAGCTACGGAAAGTCCATCATGTTTCGATCCTGTCGGAACTGGATTTCATCGGATCATGACACCTGTTGCGAAAAGTGGTGGCCTTGGTATTTTGGAGAGTGCTATGCATGTCGCAAGCTGGGGTACCATGAAATGTTCCTTGGAATGCATCCCATCACATGGGTAACAACCTCTGCAGTTTTTAACAGTTTGTTATTGAAAATTGCTATTTAGTTCGTTGATTTCCCTATCAAAACTTATTCATAGTTGGTTTAGCTATATATGTTGATGGTGATTTGCCAGTTTTACCTATGAAAAACGGTGATTGTTCCATCGCTACGTTAGGAGCTGGAGATCGAAGGGGTCTCCTGGCTCGAGGATCCCCCACCATAAATATCGATGCTATGCGAAGCGCCCATGGAATCTACGGAGGTTTCCAACAAGTCATGGGGGTACCCACTGTGCATCATCTATTTTTGGTTGGGATTTTCCCTGAACCAGCGATAAAGGGTACCCCCCAATTTAGGAAACCCCCATATGATTTTCTTGGTCATTTAGAAATTGTTCCAATCCGAAATGTCATTCCGATGATGGTCTGTGGGTGAATGGGTTAATTATTTCCAGGAAGTACGGTAATTTGCTTACACATATGGGGAATGATCCGTCAAAATGGCTTAACAATCAGGTTTGAAAGGTGTGATTTGTCAGTGGAAATCATCCCAATAGGTAACCGCATACCCCATGATAGAAACCAACCAACGCCAAGCACTGTAATGTGGTAAAGCAATAAGCCATCCCAGATGGATCCCCAGAAATATCTATTTTACAGCCTCCAAAATCGGAGCTTAATGGTATTGGGCCGGGTAAAAATCACATAACACCATGGTCTACAGGATCCTAAGATATGGGGTGTACCCGTTATTTATGTCACGTTCAATAGGGAAAATGATGACTGACCAGCGGATTTAGGGGCACTCTATTTTCAGACAAATCTATCCATGTATGGCTCATGTTCCCATTGAACAAGGGAAAAGTCCATTGCATACCAGAGAGTATCCTTACATCGTATCTCTACGTAAGGAAAAGGTTCACAACTGCAACCAGCAAAAAAACAGAATGTTTTGATCAGCAAACATGGTAAGTTTATCAAAGAATACACCCCAAAGGCTAGAAAAGTGTCCTGAACATTGCTGGCACACCTTTGGAAGATCATTCCACTTAGCTTCACTGGTTAGTGGCTGGGGTTATTTCAGCCAACTATAAATGGTTTCGAGCAAAGAATTTTGGGAGGCTTACCGGAATTCTTTACCAGCCTCCAACTGGTTTGATCTTCCAATCACCAGGTTCGACACTGTTCATTGGATGATGACCCTGACAACCGTTGTAATCAAACATGGCAATGGAAAACCCGCAATGGGTAGATGGGTAGATGATTTCACTGTTTGAACCGCTACTTGGGTGCCTTAACTTGATGGTTTGGTACCTGCGAATGCGGAGGTGGTTTCCCCAACAAAAGTTTAGGCAAAGCCGCTCTGGAGACTGGAATCTTCCTGGAAGGTGTCATTACTGGCAACCATTGGCCATCGATGGGGATTCAGCCACCTTCCTACATATCCCATCACATTCCCCCATGTTTTTTGTTCAAATCACATAGCTGCCGGTCTAAATCTCATGTTTGTGACCTAAATCCCCTTTCAATATGTGCCACTCCCCATCTTCCTACACTCCAAGGCGGTGATTTTTGCCATGAACACCAGGGCCACCAAAAACATGAATCAGAAGGCACCTGCATCACTTGTGGTATGACCCTTTTTGACTATGCTGATGTTTCTTCCACTTAGTTGCACCCCAAAGTTCATGCGATAGGGCTCCCATTGGTAAGGAGCCCTTGAAAAATGCCACATGTGATGGCAACTGCCCAGAGATACCATCCGGGGCGAAAATCAATGGATCCAATATACTAAACCAAGGTTCAACCCGACCCCTCCATTTTGATGCTGAATCCCCGTCATACCATGGAGGGATGATGGTTTCAAGCCGCCAAAAGTCGGCGAAATCCATGGGTTTTCGGAACTGATCGACGTTCATGGTGGGGTTTCCATATCTTTTTGGATGTGTACTGGATGATAATTCCTGTCTTTGATTTTATCCACCAGCTCACTGACAATGAATCTTCTCACTTGGGTAGGTCATATCTCTTCATGTGTATATCCCCATGTGGACATGTTAATATCTCCCCAATTCATTATATCAGATGAAATCTGCCACATTTGGGTGCTTAAATCTCTATCGTGGCAGTTGCTGGAGTGTCCATTGGGGATGCTGTCCATCTTGGCACATCAGCTGCAAGTGGCGCTTGCGGGGCTCACGGAGCAGGACGGGCCAAGCCCTGATTTCCGAAAAGGTTGTGATTTTCTTACATTGCTTTTCATTGGAAAAATAGGATAGATTTATCTGTTTGTTTTCCAACTATGGTGATTAAACAGGCAATAAATGGAGGTACTCTCCATAAACAACTGTTAGTTGATGGTTGATATACGGAGTTAGCTCTCTTCAACTCGGGATTGGCCATGAAAATCAGCAATCGATTTGAGTTTGTCGGAAACTTGGGACTTATAATTAATTATATATGCTGTCCTATTCGGGCTCGCGACTCGATCTCATGCATGTATCCGAAATTGCAAATGGGCCAGAAATGGGGGTATACGCCCAAAAAGGGCATTTTCAATAGGAAAAGGGATTATTTTCGCATTTGGAATTGGAGTCACCCTGTTTTCACAGGGCTTGGCCCGTCCTGCTCCGTGAGCCCCGCAAGCGCCACTTGCAGCTGATGTGCCAAGATGGACAGCATCCCCAATGGACACTCCAGCAACTGCCACGATAGAGATTTAAGCACCCAAATGTGGCAGATTTCATCTGATTTCACTACGAAAAATCCCAGTTGACCAAGAAAACTGGAGATTTGATTGCACCAAACATGGAGATGTTCACCACTAAACATATCATTGGATGGGAGATTTTGGCAAGAAAAGGTTTCAGTTGGTTGTCATATATCCCCATGAAGTTGAAATATCTCTCACAGTGTGTTTCACAAATCCTTGGCTTGGTTGGTAAAATGCTCATGTCTATCGTCATTCATCCCCACTTTTGCGACAACCCACCGGCCGTAGCGGCTGACTTCCCATTTGGAACACCTCAGTAAAACAAAAACTAGTTGGTGGAAAACTGACATAAAAAGGTTGTGGTTTTACACCATCACCAACCAGCATTTACACCAATTGGTGCTGGTTGGTGATGGTCTGTCCATAAAAGTATGTTTGCGTGTGAACTGATCAGTGTAAAAATTGCTGGCTGTCAGAGATGGTTTACGTAGACAGTCCTCGGCATAAGACTTGGTTTCTGAAGATATTGGTTGATACAAACCAGATTGACGTAGAAGCGTGTTTGGGTGTAAAAACTGTCTGGTGTAAAAACAGGATGGTGTAGGCCACACTGGCCTTGAACGTGTTGAAAGGCAGCCAAAAAACGTGAAAAACTTTGAAGTATTCAGTCTTCAAAATAATCGTTGGATTGATGATAGCTGTAAACACCCTCAGTAGCAGGTCCTTCCCGTAGACCATTTTAGTAGCAGCTACTCGTACCATCGCCCCGGCAGTTGCTGGAGTGTCCCTTGGGGATGCTGTCCATCTTGGCACATCAGCTGGAAGTGGGGCTGGGGATGCTCACAGAACAGGTGGGACAAGCCCTTGTGGATTTCTGCTAGAAGCTGGTGCTTTTTAGATGTTTTTCATGGGAAATGTGGGATCGCATGAAAAAATAGAGGGACTTGACATGATTTAACTGGGAGCGGCACATTAGCATACATGTGTGTGTGTGTATGACATCTTTGGCATGAAAATTGAGACGTTTAATTCATCGGTGATATTTGTATATGGGATACGTGACACGTGTTTTTTCTACTAGCCAACATTTGAAAGGGGAATGATGAGAGACCCGAGCATGGGCCCGTTTGGAGATCAGTACCCACATGCCTTTCCCAATGGCAAACAGGTGAAACGAAAGGTCACCCCTCGGTCTGAAGATCATGTTTGCGGCTCAGCCGTGGCACAGTCGTTATTTGAACAGATAAATGTTCTGCAACAATGGGTTTTCAGGTATGCAGATCAGTTTTGGACATAGCCACCCATTCTTGGTGGTATCCCGCATGTGTGTGTGTGTGTGTGCGTATTGTTGATTTATATACTTCCTTGTTTGTAAAAACCTCACCTCTTCCATAAATCTCCACCAAATAGAAGTGAGATAAAGGACTCCAGATTTTATGTTCAATATAAATCCACATTATCCACATTCAATGATAACATTCCAATGGCGGTTGGTCAACTTTCCCTCTTTCTTGGATGAACATCGCCAGATTTCGATGGTGACCTATTTGATGGCCTTTGGGGCGGATATGATTGAAACGCAGGCAGGGAACGAGCCGTTCGGTTATCAAAAAATGTGAAGTTTGCTTCCATCACATCCAGTTTTTCAAGGTCATCCCCCAAAAAATTGTTTGATTTTCTTGGATTAGTGTGGCATGTTTCCTTTCACGCTTCTGAACTATTGAACTAGTGAAGGTACTGATAGTCATGGTGTTTTAACCCATGGTTGTTGCAGGTGGGAAAGTCATGAAAGTCTCCATTCAGTTCGTTGATTTCCCAGCCATGGTTGATGACATCCAGGGGCTAAGTTGGATCCGGTTGGTTTGAATCCTCAGTTGGTCGTCCTTCACCTGGAATCATTCCCTCAACTGAAATGTTAAGGATGGGTTTTGCAAGAAATCACTCACCACTCCGGGTGATCGTTCTTGCTACTTTCAAACATTGAGATGATCCATGCTTGGGCCCATGACCAGCAAGCAGAAAAATTGGCACTGAAAGAAGCACCAGCTGACGGATACTACCGATTGAAGCTCGACAGGCTGAAGTGGATGAGCGGCGACCCTGAGAAACCCTTGTCGTCGTTGCTCTTTCGAGGATTTCAGAGGAAGTTGAACAACACTAAGGCATCGGTATAAGATCCCATCAATTAAAATGTTGGTACCCCATCAATAATGATATGAAATTCAAACATCAAATGACGATATATTTACGTGGTGGCTCAACCACCAACCACCAACAAATATGTTTTGATGCAATCTAAAATGCACTGCCATTTATCAATGGGGCAGATTTATAAATACCATTTGGAAAAAACTGAGATCTTGTATAATAAATACCTTTGATACATCTGTATCCCTATGGGATTTCAATAAATACCATCCTAGATACCACTATAAAATGTTACTGAGATATTAACACAAAATACCGTTCATAAATATCATGTTCGATCCGTTTCCCAACCGGGATTTTATGTCGATCCGTTCCACCGCCAGTTGAAGTCTCCTGATTGGCTCCTTCGAGCCCTCCTTCAGAGCCGATGGTGCGAGTGACACAACCAGGATGTGGTCTAGATAGATAAGGTTTGGTGTCTTAAGCAGTTAAGCAGCAAAGCAGCAAGCTTGGCATTTGTTTAATGATTTTTTGATATCTCATATATACCATATATATATATATGCCATGCAAGTTTCCACTGTCAGCTGTGCACGCAAGAGGCGCTCAGCTGCAACTAGCGACTCCGCAAGTCTGTTGGTCCAAAAGAACCCATAGCATAAGGTGAGCTGGGGCGCTATCGTTTTGCCATAGCCATTAACGCTTAACCCTGCTATCTTCAAAGGACTACATCTTGGGCAAGAACCCGCTACTCCATACTCAGGCATCTTCCCCATCTGAGTTGAAGCACTTGGATGGTAGCGTAGAGCCTTGCAAAGAGGCAGTCGAAGGTCGTGGGCCTTTGGTGGCTTGCCCCAGGCGCACAGCCCCTGGGGAAAACAAGTGTGATGACTGAGGGTATCAGTCGATCAAAGGATGGGGTGCCCCAGTGGACGGGGGAGGCGTCCACGTTTCAGGAGTATGAAGAACAGGCTTTACAGTGGGAACAGTCAGTGGCCTACCACAAACGGGCACTGTGTGCCCCGCGACTCATCGCGGAGTTGAGTGGCACAGCCCGCAAGTTCATTGCGGGCAAACGGCCAAACTGGGTGTCGTTTGATGGTGGAGTGGCCTACCTGATGTCCTTCCTACGGAAGAGCCTGGGAAAGCCGCAGATTCCCGAGCTGAGTGACCACCTGATCAAGTACTTCAGACAAAGCAGAAGGAAAAAGGGAGAGAGCATGAATGACTACATAGTCAGGAAGGTCGAGATCTATGCCAGGGCAAAGCAGGCCCTTGCCCGAATCCATCCCCACTACAGCAACACCGGAAGTTGGGGTTATGGAAACACCGGATGGTGGCAAGGGTCGACATATGCCCCGAGCAGATGGACAGACGACCAGTGGCACGAGACACGAGAAGCTCAACAAGAAGAGGAACCGCAAGAAAATGAAGGAGGTGAAGAAAGCACTTCACAGCCAGAAGGAAGTCTGAGATCGTCCGACCGATGGGGCTCATGGACCAGCTGGAACTGGCACTGGCACCAAGAAGAGGAACCATGGATGACTGACGCCGTGGAGTTGCTCCCAGACTATCTCCAAGGCTGGTACTTGCTCTTCGATGCCAACCTTGACGTCCCAGAGAAGAACATGGTGCAGACAGCTCTGCATGGCGATTTTTCCCTGGACAAGGTGGCTGAGATCCTGCGCAACCAATGGCCTGAAGAAGAGCTGAAACGCTATGATCAGGCGCATAGGCAGACCGCCTATTGGCAAGAGGACTTGGACGATGAGGGCAGCACAGACCGCGGCCTAGAGAATCTCACAATGGCGGCCTTGAGAGAAGAGGGTATGAATGAAGAGGGCATCACACTGATGGCACAGGCCACGGAGGATGCCGAAGAGGCCATGGCAGTTTTGCAGAAGGCAAAGGTCACCTTGAGAGAAGCCCGTGCCAAACAGCACCAAGTGAAAATGAGCCGGAAGTACTACCAGGTCAGCAGTGGGTCTCGACAGGCCCAAACAGGGGTCCCAGCCGGACTCAAATGCTTCCGATGCGGAGGCAATCACAAAGTAGCCCAATGCCCTGACCGACATGCTCCCAAGAAGGAGGACCAGGCGAATGTCACACATGAAGCAGCACCGTTTGTGTGCTACACCGAGGAGGAGGCCATCGCCTGGGCAGCAACTCAGGGCCATGAAAAGATGACCACTGAGGAGGCAATTGAAAAAGGCTTTGGTGTGGTAGATGGAGGGGCCACGAAGACCCTAGGCTCTGTGCATGCCTTGGAGGCCATTGCGGAGGAGAACCTTCGCAAACACCAGAGCTCCCGAGTCTTGGAGGTGGACACCAAGGACACTCCCGTCTTCGGTTTTGGGAACTCAAGTCGGGACAAGTGCATCAGCACAGCAAAGATGAAGATCGAGGCGGGAGATCGTGAAGGGGTACTGAGAGTCCATGCCTTAGATAAGGGCAAAGGCCCTGTGCTTTTGTCAATTGCCACCTTGCGGGCCCTGAAGGCCATAGTGGATTTTGATGAAGATTTGATTGTTTTTCGAGAACTGGATGACAAAAAGCTCATCCAAGCCGAGCGCTCACTGGCAGGACACCAACTTTTGCCTTTGACTGACAATTTGTACAGCAAGTCCTACACCAGTGCCACGGCAATCCCGAGCCTGCGCTCGTTTTGTAGCCGTAGTTGCTAGGGACAACTCCTCTCTGAGTCGCCGTCTGTCGATGAAAGGGAGGTGAGTAGGAGTGAACAGACACCGGGAGCGATGGCACATCCCAACAATCAAGAGGTTTTTCAGAACAGTGTGTGTGTGAGTGGTGTTGGTAACCCTGGTAATGGTGAAACACATACAAACACAAACAAACAACTGGAAGTTGCCACCAGCAGCCACGCTGGATCACAAGCTGCCTTCGAGATAGACCACGAGAACCAGCACTTTGGCAGCCACCATGCCGTCTGTCGCCAGTCTGAAGAAGCCCGAGCTGATCGAGGCCATTCAGAATCTGGGCGAAGAGCCACCAGAGACCTGGGGGGTGGTAGAGCTGAGATGCCGCCTGAACGAGTTGGAGGAGATGAACGGCATCACTCGCCAGAGCGGAAAAGTCCGAACACCCATGCAGCAGCTGGTTGTGAAGTTGAATATCGCCACCAAGAAGAAGAGCGCCTTGCAGGCATTTGCTCACGAGCTTGGAGTCACCAACACAGGAAACTCCACAGTGGCCCAGCTGCAGAAGGTCTGCTTGGAGCACATCTACATGCTAGCTGCGGCCGACCCCACAGATGCGGTTGGCTTCGGGGAGAATGCACACATGACGTACGAGGAGCTGCAGACAACCAACCCGACCTACTGCCAGTGGGTCCAGAAGATGGCAGCCGAGGGCAATACCTGCTTCCGCCTGAGCCGTCTGGCTACTTGGCTGGACAACAACCCCAAGAAGGCGGACAACAAGGTGAACCAGAAGAAGGTCCCAGGGCCAAAGGCCAAGTCAGTGGGACAGAAGTCACGCTCACGTGCCAGCAGCAGCAGTGCACCCATCGAAGCCATACAAGAGACCCAGGCCATGATGATGACCTTGGTCGAAACGGTGAAGGACCTGAAGGGCGAGGTGGAGGCGCTCAAGGAGGAACGCCCCCACAAGAAGAAGGAGATCTCCACGGACAGCGAGTTCAGTCTGATGTCCGACAAGAGCTAGGCGAGGACTCACTGAGCATACCAGCCCAGCCCTTAGACCAGGCCTGTAGCTTAGAGAATCAGCCGGCTCACAACAATGGGACTGCCTCAGAATCCATGTGTAGGTTTTTCCAACAAGAGACCCAAAACTTGGCCCCAGGGGCCTTTCAAAGTCTCATGTCACATGATAGGAGGACCTATTTGGTTGAAGTTGCCTGTTCACCCGATAGTCGGTTGAGTAGAGAGGTTCAGAGGCAGGCAGGATATGAGGAGGCGGCTATTCGCTGTTCCCACTGGAATGGATGTGATCTAGGCAGTGGGAGTGGGGTCCAACTGGTCTTACAGACCATCACGGAGAAAAGACCTAGCCATGTTTGGATCAGTCCTGAGTGCGGACCTTATTCCCCAATGCAGGCTGTAAACCAGAGAACTGAGTCGCAGATAGCCGACTTGACTGAAAAGCGCCGAGTGGCTTTGAAACAATATATCGGTGCCAGCTGCATTTACCAGTTTTGCATACAAGAGGGAATCCATGTCACATGGGAATGGTCACAGAGATGTCAGGGATGGAGATTACCGTTTATGCAGAAACTGATACGACGGTACAATCCTTTCTTTGCCACCACACAAGGCTGTCAGGTGAACCTGCGCGACACACGTGACAGTAGGCTCATGCATAAAGGCTGGAAGGTCATGACCACACACCAACACTTGGCTGATATGCTGAATCTTCCATGTCGATGTCCAAAGGGTTTTTCACATGCCCGTTGCGAGGGTGGGGCTGCTGGTCTCTCTGCCTACTATACTCCAGAGTATGTCAAGCGAGTCTGGAGTGCATTGTCCCGGGAACTTCCTCTTCCTCTGCTGCGTCGTGAGTTGTCGGGCCAGTCTTGCCTGCTCTCTTGCTTTGGGGAAGGAGCGTCGTGTTACTGTGGGGATCTGAGGTGTCATGGTAGTACACAGTCGTGTGGTACTTGTCTCATGTCCGCGACGGTAGGCCCCCAAGCGAAACCAGGCAATCATGAGAAGACTCAGGAGGGGAGGAAAGGCAGTAGTGGTAGTGTAGGTGAACCGTCTAGCGCCACGCGTCAGCTGCGTAGTGAAGCGGAGCATCATGACGCGGAGCGTAGGAAAGCGACGCGTAGCGACACGCCACATGTCCATGCCACACATACTGTCAATGCACGTGGAACAAGCATACCCAGCACAGCAGTTTCATGATCAGCTGAGTGATGAAGACATCAAACGCAAACTGTACTTGCTGCATGCAGCCACAGGTCACAGCAGTGTGTCAAACATGTTGACTGCTTTGAAACGGAGAAAGGTAAACAAACGAGTACTGGACTTAGCTGCAGTTTTTCAGTGTCCACTGTGCCAAGAAAAGCGGAAGATCAATACAAAGCATGCTTCGTCGTTGGAGCCGTTGCCACCAAAATTCAACACCATCAGTGCTGATGGAGCAAGGTGGACTCACCCTTTTACCAAGGATGAATATGAGTTTGCTGTCATAATAGATGAGGGTTCAAGATACCGAACGGCCCGGATCTTGAAAACGGGTCACAAACAGACCATGAGTGCAAACTTGTTTCTCCAATACATGACTGAAGGGTGGATTCAATACTTTGGCCGGCCAAGTGTTCTCCGGCTCGACCCTGCGGGGGCTTTTAGGAGTAAGGAGATCGAAACGTTTTGCGACCAGCATGGCATCTTCCTAGATGTCATCCCGGGCGAGGCCCATTGGCACCTTGGCACCTGCGAACAGGCCGTCAAAGGCCTGAAAGAAGTGCTGACCAAACTAGTAGAGCAAGAAGAAGATGTGCCGGTTGAACTGGCACTAGCTGAAGCGGTCAGAACTTTCAACAGCCGAGAGATAGTACGTGGATACTCACCCATACAGCATGTGCTTGGGAAGAGCCCGGATGAGACTGGACGCTTTGTGTCGAGTCTGACAGGACAGAATCAGGAGGTCTTACTGGGTAACCCACAGGGTGAACCAATGGAAGATATAGAGAGGATGAAGAAAGCAGAACAAGCACTTTCAGAGTGGCAAGCACAACAGAAAATCACAAAAGCAATGAACTCTCGGAGCCAGCCAAAGATGGACTACAGGCCAGGAGACCTTGTCTATTTCTGGCGGAAACAGATCAGTGGCCAACCAGCCGGCAAGAATGGCCGGTTTCTTGGACCTGCGAGAATCCTGGCCACAGAAACAAAAAGAGAGGCTGATGGCAGCCTGCGAAAAGGGAGTGCAGTCTGGTGTGTGAGGGGCCGAAGGCTTCTAAAATGCTGTCCAGAACAATTGCGGCCTGCGTCAGTCCGCGAGGAAATGCTGGAAGAACTTGAACAAGCAGAACCAGAAGCACCCTGGACATTTCCCCGGGTGGCATCAGAACTGGGAGGAAACGAATATGTGGATATCTCCAACGAAACACCTACACTGGAAGCCTGGCACAAGGCACAGGACCCCATGGAGGTAGAACCACCAACCAGGAGACATCGGCGAAAACGCCCAGTGAGTGAGCCACGGAATGTTGGACAAGATGCAAGACAGCGAAAGAGTCGACCCACAGACCCCGACCATCAATTGCTGGCGGAGGCCAAACCATGGTGGGATGAAGTGGGAGAAGAGGCCTTCTACAATAGCACCGGAGACCACATGTGGGCGCAAGAACGTGCCATGGTCGAGGTGGCCATTGACATGCCAGACACACGCCGTGGCATGCAAAAGGCCATAGGTGATCTAGAGGGATACTTCGTGAACAACTTGAAGAGGCGAAGCATCGAGGTCAGTGAGAAAAGATTGACAGCGGATGAATACCGCCAGTTCCAAGAGGCCAAACAAAAGGAGGTGAAGAACTTTCTAGCAGCAAGGGCTTTTGAGGCCTTGCCACCGGAAATGAAGCCTAGCCGAGAACAGGCTATTGGCATGCGCTGGATCCTTACATGGAAGAAACAAGAAGATGGCACAAAGAAAGCGAAGGCTAGGGCCATCCTCAAAGGGTTCCAGGACCCAAACTACGAAACCAGGTCAACAACGACACCAGTGATGACCCGGCAGACACGGCAACTTTTGTTGCAAATGGCAGCTTGGAAGAAATGGAAGGTCAAGAAAGGTGATGTCTCGGGTGCATTCTTGCAGGGCCGAGAATACCCAAACGAGCTCTACTGCATCCCATGTCCAGAAATCCTGGAGGCCATGGGGTTACAGCCAAATGAGATCCTACGAGTCAAACGTGGGTGCTATGGACTGGTGGACGCACCATTGGAATGGTACCGAACCATCTCTGACTTTTTAGGATCCCTGGGATTGACAAAGTCTTGGGCTGACCCTTGCGCTTGGCTCTGGAAACCTGATGGGGTGACCCGCGGCATGATAGCTGGACACGTAGATGATTTCCTTTTTGCTGGGGATAAAAATGATCCAGCATGGCAGCTTCTTGAGACAAAGATCAAAGAACGATTCAATTGGCAGGATTGGGAGGAAGGACGTTTTGTACAGTGTGGAGTCCTGGTTGAAGAACAACCAGACGGCTCATATCACCTCTCTCAGCCTGACTACTTGGACAAAGTCAGTGAGATCAACATGAGCGCCGGACGGCGAAAAGACCGAAAGGCGTCAACAACTGAGATGGAGAAAACACAGCTCCGGGCTATCCTCGGAGCACTGAGTTGGCACAGTCAGCAGGTGTCACCACATACGTCAGCTGAAGTTGGTTTGATGTTGTCCGAAGTTTGTAACAGCACGGTTGAAACAATTTTTCAGGTGAATAAAATGTTGTATAATGCCCGTTGTCGAAAGGATCACAAACTTGTCATACATGCTCTCACACCAGAAACAAAACTTGGAATGTTTGTGTGGGCAGACGCAGCAGCCCAGAACCGAAGAGATGGAGGAAGCACTCAAGGAATTTTTGTAGGACTAGCGCCGTTGACTTTGTTGGACGGTTGTGTTGAGAAGATTTCCCCTATAGCTTGGCATGCAGGTAGAATAGACCGCATAGCGAGAAGCCCTGGAGCAGCAGAAACAAGAGCAGTAGTAAACGGAGAAGACTATTTGTACCATGCCAGGTATCAGCTTGGAGAAATACTGCAGGCGGTCACAAACGTTTTTGACGTGGACGAAACGGTGAATCAGGTGGAGGGTTGTGTCATTTCTGACTCAAGAAACGTCTACGATAAACTCATGACAGAGGAGCTTAGCGTAAAAGGGGCCGAGAAAAGGAGTGACCTCGAACTTTTGTGTTTGAAGTCAGCACAGAGGAACAACAATGTGGTACTGAGGTGGGTTCACTCAGAGGCACAACTGGCAAATGCACTCACTAAGGGAGGCGCTAAGGAACTTGCACTTTTCTACAAGATGCAAGGAACGTGGAGGATAGTATGTGATGACCTCATGAGGTCTGCACGGAAGAGAGGGAAAGAAGGGCTGACCGTTTTTCAGCAACAACAAACATACACTTGATGTCTTGTTTTTCGGTTTTTGGGGTGTGTGTGTGGTGTGTGTTTTTGGGTTTTGTGTGGTTTTCTTTTTCTGTTGAATAACAAGCAGGGATGTGCCAGAGAGCCGGTGGGATGCAAGTTTCCACTGTCAGCTGTGCACGCAAGAGGCGCTCAGCTGCAACTAGCGACTCCGCAAGTCTGTTGGTCCAAAAGAACCCATAGCATAAGGTGAGCTGGGGCGCTATCGTTTTGCCATAGCCATTAACGCTTAACCCTGCTATCTTCAAAGGACTACATCTTGGGCAAGAACCCGCTACTCCATACTCAGGCATCTTCCCCATCTGAGTTGAAGCACTTGGATGCCATATATCCGATTATTATAGATTCGAGGGTTGTAGGGTTTTAGAAGCAAAACTAAGCAAAACGGTGATGTTGTGACCAAAACTATGGGATCACGTGAAGATATGGACTCTTAAAGCGGCAGTGATGTTTGCCACTTGTTTTTCTTCACCCTCAACATGGAACTTCAAAACCGGATTTACATGATAGATGTCCTCTTTTTTATGCAAGAAAATTGAAGAAACGAAGCTAAATCCATTGATAAATCTTCATTATACCTCCAAAAAATTGGCGCAGGATTTACTTTTTTTCAGACCTGAGCTCTGGGATCCAGCGCTACCTTGATGTCGTACTACGTAACCGTGGCTACAAAATCCCCCTATCAGCAGGGATCTATTTCGGGAGAATCATCGAAGATGGAGGAAATTCCAGCTGTGCGGTGTCGCGACTGAATGGCTTAAAACCCAGTGTTTTGAACCATAAATGGGCGAATGTGAAAAAGATCATGTCCAACTAGATGAGTTTCTTGTGGTGGATCGATTGGCAGCGCTGCATTCACCAAGTGGAAGAGCACCTCCACCTCGAAGCGCCGAATATGACAGGCGCCAAGACATCGAAGACATGAGAGGAATTGCAGTGGGAGCTGATGACGGACTGACTGGAGAGTGCACCGCGATTCGCTTCGTTGGACAAGGAAGTTAGGAACTTGCGCAGCGACGTCAACATAGTCTTGATTCCTGTGTTTTCAATGACTGAAAACCACACTGAAAAGCACACATTTGCATTATCAGGATTTGCACTTGCAGTGCGGACCAATTTGTAGCCCAAATTGTGCTGTAGCCCTTAGGAAATTCGAAGCAAATTGGACAACAGTTTTTAGAACTAAACGTTCCAATGACAGTTCCTTGAGGCTAGTCTTCTAGTCCACTCTACTCTACTCTACTTCAGCCAACTAGACTTAATTAAGACTTCTGAGTTCTACTTCACTATACTTCAGCCAACTGGATCTATGAGGTTGTTGGCTCTATGTTACCCTTATTTTCTTCTTGCTCTGTGGGTGACAATGGAACCTCTCGCATTGGATGATAGGTTGTTTGCACAGTATACCAATCTCTGGTGTTTCCACAATGGCACTCCAATGTTTTGACCCACCCGTAATGTCTCCATTATATCACCATGAATACTCCCCAATGTTTGCATAGAATATTGTTGCTTCAATCCCTATCCCATGCAAAAAAAAGGTGGTGCCTCATAGGTTTCACTCGTTATGCCTCAGGCTTTCGCATGAGTGTCACCTTGGAACCGAAAAAAATTTCTGACAGTTGGGGATAGATTTGGCTGAATCCCCTCCCCCAACGATACTGTAAAATTGACAGTTGTCTTCATTAGATAGTTATCCCCATCGTATCCCCCAAAAAAAACCATCATATCCAAATTGGTAATTATATCCCCATGATGCCATAATAGTTGTAATATGTTGTAATTATATCTCACAAACCCCCAATCATATCCCTCCATTTCTGCATTTTACCAGCCATTATATCTCATTATGGAGGTATATATCATACATATATATATATATGTATATATATATATACCCCTATCTTATTCTAGCTGATTGTATATCTAAAACCGCGCCCGCCAGGCCGGTCTTCACCAAATTGGCCGCGTCCGCCTTGCTCATCCAAGCGAGGTGCCAACAGCATATTTTAAGGTAAACAAGAACGGGTTTGATGGGTAAATTTAAGTTTAGTACAACTGATTTCTTGCAATTTTGTATATGTGTATATTAGTATATATTGATCTATATTACTATTGATGTATAACCAGCTAAAATGATGTGTTTCTTTGGTAGAGTATCTAAGATTGGCCATGTTTTGCATTCAACAGATTGGAAATAAAGGAAATTCGGGTGGAACCGGTATGTGCAACATTGTGGAACCAGAGGAGGTATATGTTTTGAACGCAAATGTTCCAAGGAATTTACCTGCAAATGTTTGGGACTCAACCAACAAACATGAGGATGTTTAGCGAATCAGCTGGCCCCTGCCAGCAATTTCAAGTCTGTTTTTTCCGGTAGATTGGGGGTGAGACCCCAGGTATCCAGAGATGTGATCACAGTCACTGTGGATTTCTTTAAATTGGTTTCTATGTTCTTCATGGATACTTGGTAACAACGACCATAATGATTAATGATGATAATAAGAACAATATTAATAATGATGATATTGATGGCAATAAAATGATAGTAAGAAGATTATATTATATAGACAAGGAAATTCCATGTATTTTGTCATCTCTTCCCAAAGATTCCCCATGGACATCGCCAGGAATTCATGGCAGTCACCAGCAAGGTATCAGACGCTTTGCGAAACATGGGCAGCGCTCATGACACGTTGGTTGGGTGATAAAATTGTCGCCGGGCTGGAAAGATGGGAGAACTCCCATGGTTTTTCTGGGGAAACCTAAAGGAAACCCCATTTTTTATGGGGTGTTTGTTTTATTTGTTCAAAACACCGCTACTTTCCGGTAGGTTTTCACATCATCCATTGAATATCATGTGGCTTCAAGGGGTTGAACGGTTGTTGGGGATTTATATCCACTTGATGGGATTGGAACCCTCATCCATGAAGTTGGGTGCTATTGACTTGGTTTCTTAGATGGACAGTGTTGGTTAAGTGAAATTACTTCTTTGTTTCTAGTCCTTGTGGAATTTACGGTGGAAACTATAACTAATCGTTACAACCCTCAGCTGTTGCTGTTCTCCGCCAAGGCCATGGCCCTTGGCCATGGCCCTTGGCGCAATGATCCACCCGGAACATGGAGATTTTTCACACAACGGATGATCCACCGGGATTTATGGGGGCTATGGTAAAAATGTATCCTTTTCTGAGAATCCTGGCGACCGTATTTGGGATGCAAAATCCGCCCTGATTACTGGGCCATATTCGTTGTGAGCCTTTTTACTTGCTCCAGTGGTCATCTAGCCACCACTCTTTCAAACTTTGGGAGAAACGATCCACAGTTCGCATTGCATGTGTTTGAACTATGTCGATCATATCTCCGGAACATATAAACCCCCCAAAATGATCTCTACTGTTGTTCATGCTTGGAAGTGATCGGCCACCAATCCGACAACAGTTGGATACATCATACGGGTTTCATTGAAAATGGTGTACCTCTAAATCCACTGATGAATCATAATTTTCTCATGTAAATAGCCATGAATTGGGGGCGCAAGCCATTTTTAGGCACACGCATATTCTGCTACCTTTTACTGGCGATATGCCCAGCCAAAACCAGCACACTTCAGGGACTCCAACCCAAGTTCTTCCGGGGAGCAAATCGCAACCATGGGATGCAGGGGTTCCAAATGTTCAAGCAACCGAGTTATGTCGAGTTTCATCTTCCGTTCCTGTTGGTTTAAAAGGGACAAGCCAGATGGCCGGATGTTTATTGGTGATATCAAGTTCCATGCCTTATATTGCTTGATTTTGGCCGGTCACAAACCACTATGAGAAAGTAATCACCTTCAACTGATTGTTATAATAATCCATGATTGATTGGATTGATGATAAGTTAATCCCCGCCAATAATCATGTGTGATTCATAGCCATCATGGCATAATCCATTCTAACCGCCATCTATTTTTTCTTTGATCTGGGGCTAAACCCATACTCCATGGAAAAAAATCCTATGCAAACATCCGCAAACATCCCCGAGGAACAAGCCTTACAAGTTGGATTTTCTTCCCTCCGAGCTGCTCTACCCTTTGGATGAGCAACATCAGCTGCCGGCCCGGAATCCTGGAGTGGAAGAGATCCAATCACAGCCAGGTGGGGATATCACCAAAGATAACGGGATAGACCAATGGCTTTAACCGGGATATAATGGGGATATAATGGGATATCACCAATAATATGAAGATTAGAATGGATTATACCATGATGGTTATTAACCAAACATGATTATTGACGAGATGAACTGATCATCAATAATCCAATGAATAATGTTAGGTTGATCAAAGCAATCTGCCTTGTCTAGTGAAACTCTTGGAATTAAATTGCGAAACCTCTGGTTTCAACATTTTGCTGGTTACAAGGTTTTTGCATGAAATGCGATTAATTCGATGCTGAAGTTCATAAAAATGCAAGGACTACTGGAAAATGCAAGACTGTGGTAGATGAAGAAACTAGTGATGAAGATGATGCTTATGCAAGGGCTCCTGCTGATTCGGGATCCTCTACAAGACTGCTGTCCGTTCAGGTGATGAGGGTACTATGGGTACTATACCCAAGAATCATTGGTGATTAACCATCATGATGGTTATATACCCAATAATCATGAGGGAACATAATTAGATGAAGAATCATATTATTGGTGATATCCCCATGATATCCCCAGTACGTCCCCTCATTTTAGACTATTTTATGGCGATACAACCAACAATGAGTATAGGGGCAATATGAGACTTGTATGGTTGGTCCAACTGAATATCCCCCGTGATTTTTCACCGCGTTTGCCCCATTTCATGGGTCGAACCCACTCTGCGGAACCGCCAGCATGGCACTACGTCGGCGGCGTTGAAGTTGCGCCGGAACGCATGGCGTCGCTCCGAGAGCTATGCCCAGCTCATGAGGGCCTTGCAAACGCCACTTGGGCAGAAGCAAAATCATGAAGAAAGCAAAATCAATGGGGTTTAATAGGGGTTAGTGGGAATTTTGTGATTTTTTCATATTTTTTCGGGGATACTATGGGATATATAGTCAACCATTTTGTGCAATGTGTTGGTCTGAAAATGGGGTATGTAGGCTTATATAGGTATATAGACTGTATACCGGCATTTCAATGCTGTTTTAATACAGAAAATGGTGATTCAGCAGTGGATTTTTGTCTGTTTCCCATAATTAAGGTACCAAAGCCATATAATGGATTTGTTACCAATAACTTTAGAGGCATGTGTCTTTTCTTTCAATGGAATTTGGTCAATGCAATGACTGCCATTCGAAAAGAAGACCAATTTGCATCCCATCTGGTTGATCGGTATCGTCCATTCCAAGCCCCTTCGTTGGTGAAACATGGGTGTCTTTGAAAATGGATATCACAAAGGGCCTAGAGAAAATGATGACCTGTGGATTTCTCCAAGGTCGCTGGAAAACGCTCCAGCCTTACGAGGCGCCGTCCGATGGCCATGTCAGGCTGTGTTCAGATTAGTTCTTGGCCAAGAATAGGGACCAGGGATGACCCATATCAAGCAGAGGCATCCCCATGTCTGTTGCTACACCCACGATGTTGACACTTGGATTTCTTGCAACTGCAGTGTAAAATACACAAAGTCATCTTCCAGTGCTTTTGTTTTTCCATTGCCGGTGACACAAAGAAGGGCACATTCTAGGTACCACTAGCCACTAGCCGTACATGACATGTACACCATCCATGTATGGCTCATCAGAACCATGAAAACAAATCTAGAATGATTGACTCTTAATTATTGTATTATATCAATGGTTATATTAATAGTTGTATTGATGGTTATATTGATGGTTATATCAATGGTTATATCAATGGTTATTAATACCAGTAGACTTGTAAATATAATGTGATTACCTTACCAATAGCCACAAATACACCATCCACTGATGTTTCGACCCCAGGTCGTCACGTGGTCATGTTCACCCTGGTCTATGGGACGCGCTATGCCGGGTGCCGACCCGACCCGCGAAGGATTCGAAATGAACCCTTCAAAAAGTTAATTGTATGTTGGATGATTTAAGTTCAAGTTGTACACAGATTTGGTGATTGTAGTGAAGTTTTTCAGAAGAACAAGTGAGTTTCAAGTACTAACAAGGTGGAAAGAGCTGATCAACCAACCGCAGGGGATAGCAACCTCGGCCGACGTGGCGGTGATTGGAGCCTCACAATGACCAAAATGTTTGGGGAATCCGAAAATGGTTTCGTTTTCTGACTTGGGGTGATAGTAATATCCCTGGATTTGGAATGATTTGGATTGAAGTATGTTTGTTTGACCCATCACCCGCGAATTAAACCTGAGATGTTGTGAATCAACCTGTGATTTCGCTCCAGCAATCTACCCCATTGGGCCGTATGTTGCTAGAGGTAGAAATTTACCATGCAACCAAATGGAGATTTCTTGCCATCTGCAATCAGGTGACAGGACCCATCCCAGCACAGTCTGATCTTTGTTTTATTCCAGGCCCCCCAGGTAGGGATATAGCCTCTGGTAAACATACAAAAAACGATGGAAAATCACCATTTTTAATGGGTAAATCAACGATTTCGACTGGGCCATTTTCAATAGCAAACTGTTTGTTTACCAGAGGGTAGCAATCATGCTTGGTTCCATTCATTGCATTGCTATGATAGCTATGTCATGTTTTGTCCCCCAAGATGGGACCGCGGCAAGCCGCTGGTTTTTTGGTGTGGCCAATGGGCTTATTTTTTTTGCACAGCTTAGCCACCTGACTTTTTATCAAATTGTTAACATATATTAACACAGAATATCAACAATATATTAACAGTATTCCCTTAAATTGTTGAAGTTGGCCTGTCATCGTCTTCGGTCTGGTCTTACGTGACTTTGAGTAGCGGCGCCCATGAAATCGAACACACATCCCAGTCTTTGGATGTGAAACCCATCATTCTTCCTGAAAAACCATCATGTTTCATACGTCAAAAACCATCATTTGTCATTCTTAAATACCATGTTTTTTCATGGATAAATCACCACATCTCTTGTTGAAAGGTCCCATGTTTGCTGGAAATTCGATGGCAGGTACCTTCCTCGTTGGATCCAACGGGCTGTTGCCTTTGGCCATGGGGCAAGGACATCCCAAGTGGGAGGGTGGCAGGACTGGGGATACTATATATATATATATATATATAGTGACCCCAAAAAAAAATAGAAATGTATAAATTCCTAGTAAGTTGATGATGATTTACTTGTTCTAACATATATTTTGTACTCAAAAATGGGAATCGGATGGGTTTCCGTTACTTACATATGGGAATAGAATGTGAAACCAATGGATATCATCAACCCACTAACTATGGTTAGTATCTTAATCCGGAATCTAGTGGGATCGTCAGTGGAATATATTAGGAAGAATGGAATAAAATATATAAACTAAATTGTATAAGATTGAAGCCCCGAATTGGATTATACCATTAAAAATCATAAAATATGCGAATCTCATGTGAATTTTCATGGTTTTTTTTCGTGCGCGGACCATGGCAGCTATGGTGAAAAACAACCACTGGTGGAACTGCAGCCCGTGGCATCAACTCCAGAGGTCGTGCCTTGCGCCCGGTCATTTGTTCCGCCATGGGAAGTCACCATTTTTTCAAAAAACATCTATACATGGACCATTTTCCATAGCTACAAGAGGCTATATGATACAAATCTTTATCTTTTAGTCTTGGGAATTATGGAAAAATTGTCCCATCGCTGGAGGACCTTGCTCTTTTGCCTCGATGAAAACACGGTGAAGGCGCCAGTTACTGGCCGTGGGTCAAACGACTAACTATTGACGCTTATGGGGTAAGACTGCCTATGGTTAATATCTGCACTGATAACTGGAGCAATTGGACTGGAATCGAACCTGGAGATGGCGGTAGGGGACAGTGCAGTCCAACCGGTTGTACTTAAATGTTTTGTGAATTGGTCACAATGAATGGTCCAATTTTGATGATCATCCAATGTTTTCCATCTGAATTGTTCACAAAAATTTCCCCCTACAGACTAAAGTGTGTCACTTCTGAGGTTCGTCTTGAGCTTCGGATCCGGCTTGTTTGATGCTTCTGGACCAAGCCTGTGTGCTGGGCCAACGGCAAACGAACTATCAGTAAATCACCCAGTCACTCTGTTGCTTATTGGCTCCATGTGAGAGCAGCAGTCATCTCGGTAATACGTTGCATCCTCAGGGTATGGATTTATGAAGTGGTGTATTTGTTTCCCCCTACGACAAGCTGGGGTAACTGGAGACTCGACACGTCGGTGGCATGGTGGATCTTTTTATGGTCTCGCGCAACTTGGTGCGCCTGGGTCGTTGGGAGACTCAGTTCTTCGAAGGCCCTTGGTGATATTGTCCATCCTTGGAGTGTTTATGTTCCATCCAAAAACGGCACATGAAATTCTTGCTTGTGATCCCCATGTTTGTTGCCTTTCATCTGATATTTCTGGTTTCTCACCATGATATTTGGTGAGATCCTTGGCACAGCGATAGTTGAGTATGATCTTCATCGGCTTCATCTCCCATTGGTGAAATTCCCCTGGCTCCTTGGATCGAGGAAATGTCGACTACAGGGAGCAGTTTGGAGTGCCCTGTGAGGAGGGATGGGATGGCGGAGGCTGGATCTGAAGAATCCCCACATTGTTCCAACGTTTCGCGTTTGCCATTGATAGCGGTTGCATCATAATTCGCTTCCCCAAGATTGGAATTTGATAGAGAAGGTTAGGTTTGAGAATGGGGGGTGCCCCTAACTCCAATGATGATCATGATGTTCCTGAAAACAACAGGCCATGTTGGGGGGTATAGCCCATTTTCAGGTACACCCAGAATACCCTAGATGATAAACCTATTTTATCCCATTACACACCTATCAATACCCATTTCATAAGATCATAGGCCGCTTCTGGAACCTCGGGAAAGTGTCCACTGTCGCGACCTCCCCGAGCATGGATTTTTGCATGGAAGAATCCTCCCGAAACTGTGGTTTGCCTGGCTATTTTGAAGTTGATGATGGTTTCCCAGTGACAGTACACCATCATTGAAACCACCCAGTAAAAAAAAAAAAAAACATGGATTTTTGTCACTGGGTGGTTTCAATGATGTATGTTCAACCACGGGATGATCTGCAGGGTTTTTTTTGCAAGGCATAACCACCGAAGTTAGCTCAGTGATTCTTCAATTGCAACCGGAAACCTCAATTTGAAGGTAAAAACCATGGTTTCCTGGAGATTTTACCTTCCAGTCCATTGCATCCTCAAAAACTTGGTTGGTTTCCCTATGAAAAAAACCATGGAATCCACACATAATCTCCTTTTTTAGCTGATTTTCGCCAGGAGGTAGCCGGTGGAGTGAATTTTCTCTTGGAGGACCTCTACAGATATTGGGCTGCAGGCACCGCCTGAGTAGCGATCAAGTTGAATTTATGGGATTTAACTTGATTTAACCCGTAATTCAATAAAGTTCTTTAATGGCTTAGCTATCATAGATATGGGGATATAAATGATAAGTTATGCTGAATTGGAGGAGGGACTTGGGGGTTACCTCAGTCATGGTGTTTAAGATCAAAGAAATTAACACACTCTAACAACTGATACTTTCTCTTCTAAACTCCATATTTCTTACAACAATCATTTGCCACTGGGGGGTGCAGTTCCACTTGTGAATGTTTAACATTTTACAACTATTGTTATATGGGTCGATATTCCAACTTATGGCAGAATCCCCCGCAAACCGCAGTCCAACCTGCAACGGATGATCCACAGAAAAGCTCAGCAGTTTCTGGGATGATACCCTAAGAAGTGATGGTCATTGGATGAAACTACAAAAAAATGATTTTAAAAAAATATATGATCAACTAAACTAAAAGTGGAGTCATCAACCTCAAACAATCCATGTCGCGAGTCGAAAATCGTACGTGGCGGCTCTTAACTGGTACAGGTGATGATGAAACTGAAACTTGTAACTTGGAACAGATCTTGATGGAGCTGGTCTGTACCATGATTCAAAAAGGTGCAACTGATGCAGGTGATCCAGCTGAAGTGACACCAGTTTCTTGTTGTTCAGGTTTTGTCAGTCATGACATGAACCCTTACGTGATAGAATAGCGGGATGCTGTCCGTACCGGTTGGTTTTGCGGGAGTTCTTATGTTTCGAAGGGATATCTGGATTGTATGTTCCAATCAGCATAGAGGATACCCCCAAAATATTGCGATCTGATCTAAATGAGTAAGATGGTTTTTAAAACCTTGGGATTTTGTAGTGTTCCCATGTTTTTGAGACAACGCCATTATATATTATCCCCATGCCTGTTGATTAAATCCATTTAAATCACCATTTTGGTTGGATATGCTCAAGTCCCATTTGGCTTGGTTAGATGCTCGGTTTTGTTGAGCCAGCCATTAGCTACCTACCTGCCTACCTAGCCGGGAGGCATGAACCTCCGGACGGATGATTTGAAGCATGCGATCCAGAAGTTCATGTATCACGAGGACGATCGAGCTACCGAAAACCAGCGGGAATATGCCTTTTTTGCTACTGGACTGTGCCCCTCAGTAAGAACAAGAGTGGACCATGTGGGGCTTCCCATGTTTCAACGTTGAACATTATAAGAACTGCCAAAAACATCGTTCCAGGGGATATCATTTGGTACCCGGAAGCTGTTGCATACATTACCATTATTAGTTAGACTCGTTGGTGAGATTGGTATATTGGCTGGTCAAAAGCACATGTTTGTGCGTCCTGCTTCCACCGTTTTTTTGGCTATTTATTTTTAACGGGGCATTCTTCATGTTTGATAGCTGTTGATCTCCCCATTGCCCATCTTGGTTTATTATATCATTTTTGTGGTCAGCAAAATGTTGGGAAGATGGATTTATCATCCAAGATTGTCTCAAACCTGGCCCAGAATCCATGCAAGTGATCGCAAGTCCCCCATTCACGGGGTTCTCCCATTAGTCTACATGGGTGAACTAACCATGATCACTAACCACTTGCTAAGTAGCCATAGTTGTAACTAGACTGATACCTTATCCATATATGCATATATACAAAATATCATACAATAGTATGTATATATATATAAATAAACAAATAAATAAATACATACAAACATATATATATACCTTGATGGGATAAGCCACTGACTAACCACTTAGCACCGGACCGTGGATTTCGCTCCGGGCTCCGAGCTGCAGAACCAAGAAATGCGTTTCCAGCTCTTCGAGTCGGAGCTGGGCCTCACGGTCTTCGTCGCCAACAGCCGACACCGAGGTGGTTGGGAGGGCGTCAAGCCATGGGGGTTGGCCATGGGCCCGGTTTTGGATAGATGTCTTCTTGGCAAAAGATGGAAAAATGGGAAGCACACGGAGATTTTACTCACAAACATGGGGATAGATGATTTATGATAAGTAAAATTGGGCAAACGATCGATTTGTGGTTGATATATCTATGTTTAGATGGGCTTACAAAGCTGCAAACATAACTCAGGGCTCACCTTAAGGGCAAAGGGTTCAGCAAAAGTTGGTGGTTCACCTTGTGGATGCCCCAGTTTTCCATGGTTTTTGGGCCATGAACCTTTGATATTTAGCCGGCAATAAGCAACAGTGACTAAGAATTGGAAAATTGGATTTTACCTTGGTAATTTCACAGTTGAAACCACTGTCTAGCGGCTTAAATCAGGCTTTGAGCTCCATTGTCCAAGTCGCACATTAAAGATTGGGTGTAGAGACTATTGGATTCCCAGCAAGGATGTCTTTGAAGTCCGGGTGTCTTGTTGAGTTCCTCCACTTTGGTTGGAGAGGATCCCTGCTAATCTGCAGTTGTTCGGCCTTGTAACGTAATTAGATGTGTTTTGTTTCATTGCACATTCACTGCACAAAATCCAGAGGGTCCTTCATTGACATTACCTGTTTTGTGTCATGTTGCGCCCCTGTTCCTGGATGGTGGCAGCATGTTCTTGGTGAAGATGCATTGAAGAAGCTCGGGAACAGATCCATGATTGACACACGAATAAGCACAGGAAGACTATAATTACATACTTGGAGAGCATCATTTGGTACATGGACCACTTAGATCCATTCCATTTCACTTGGCCATAGGATCTCCCAAGTTCTCCCCGTGGGAGGCAAAGGAAAAGGCTTCGGATTTAAAGGAAAAGGCAAAGGCAAAGGACCGCCAGACACATGCCATACCCATTGCAAGACCGCAGGGTCCTGATTCATTATCCTGCTTAGGGAGATCCCCAAGCTCCTTGCGATCTTACTTTTTGCTCGTTTACTAGAGAAATCCTACTTCAGATGATCATCCCAGCAAAAATGTCGTGTTTTGCAGATTCAAAATTTCCAAGTCCAAGGAAGAGATAGGCGACCGCCAACGCAACCATGTCACGCTTCAGTCTTTGGCCAACCCAGTCTAAACTAAGGATGGGTAAATTGATATGACTGACTAGTGAGTGATTAGTATGCATGGACCATTGATTTAACGAACAGCAGATTTCCTGGGTGGAAGATTGCCTGTAAAAATGGAGACACATGACCCGCGCCAGGAAAGTCTCATCGAGGCAGCCGTTTTCCACTCAGATGTCGCATGTTGCTTGATGACCGCAACCTCCATCTACATATCTATAGTAATATGTATGCATACAATTTTCTCCAACATTTTCCCATTTTCTATGTTTACCCCTTTCCCATATAGTGCTACGTGGATTCATATACGATTATATACACAAACATTCATACACATATATGCTACATATACGCGAT